GTCTGTTTTTAATTTTCGGGAAAGTAAAGAAATCGTTAGGACTTAGATGGGGACTATATGGAGGATGGTCCAATAATTCCACGTTCTTTTTCCGTTAAATACTGCCTTGTTTTTTGGGCTGTGCGAGCTTACATTGTCTTGATGGAGGATGATTCTTCTTTCGGGGTTGATTTTCCGAAGCTCGGTGATGACTTTTGGCAAACAAATGGTGGTATACCAATCCGCAGTAACAGTGCTCATTAAGAGGAATTGTTGCAATATGACCCGCTTTTGACACAAATGTAGCGACCATCTTTTTCGAAACACTTCGAGAACGGATGACTTTTGTTGGCTTTTCTTCACCTTGGAACACCCAAACAGCCGGCTGTCGTTTATTTTCTGGTTCATAACAGTAAATTCACGATTAATCACCACTAACAATGCTGTACACATTTTTTGAGTTTCCGGTATTGAAACGGTCAAGCGTTTTTTGACACCAATTAACCCTGGCTGATTTCTGCTCCTCAGTCATCAGGTGGGGTATCCAACGAGAAGCTAATTTCTTACTCCTAATTCTTCATGTAAAATTTTTTGAATTGAGGTCTTTGAGATTTTCAAGGACGCCTCAATCTCGCAATATGTCACATGTCTATCTTCAATGATGAGTTTGCGCACAGCATCGACGTTTTCCTGGGTGGCTGCGATTTTTGGTGCACCTACCCTGGGATCATCGCTAAGACTGACCCTTTCACGTTTGAATTCTCCATACCGACTAACTCAGCAAGACATTCTTGTTGCGATAATTGTCTCTGAAGGTTGTAATAAATTATGGCGCGAAAATGTTCTCGGTTGAGTTCCATTTTTCTAATGACTTGGTGACACTTAAAAATTCACTGTAGTGAGAACACTGCACGTATTGTTGTAAAACTTTGAATTTAAGTTTACTAAAGAGTGAGGTTAAGATTCAGTACTGACGGTCGATCTGCGCGGCCTACTATGTTTCTACGCGACATAATTAAACATAAGTCATAATACCAGATATAAATTACACCCAAAAAATGTTCCTAAACCAAACAAATCTTTAATGAAACGATGTCACCTATACTTAGCTCCAAAATTGTATGAACATTTACCAAATAATTTAAAACAATTACACAATAAATACATCAAGTTTCAGAAAAAAAAATAAGTTGGACTTGAATTAGGAAGAACCATATCCATCAGTTTTAGACATGATAATGATTACATGTCTGGTGTCTCTCCATTTCCATAATAATATTATCAAATGAGAAAATTTCAATATCTTGAATGAATAAAGGGATATATGATGAATTATAAAGAAAATGTGGGCTGCAAGCCCCAACAAATTCCTAATTGGTCGAACGCTATATGTGAAAAATGTGTTGCACATTAATAGGTAGTGAAGTCCATGAAGAGTGTAATACCACCACAAATAGTGAAGTACTACTATACTAATCTTGCGTTTTGACTGGTTTTGACTATCATGTTGAGATTTCCGTGGAATTGCTTCAAAGTCATTTCAATGCAACGAGCCTTGCTTTTGGGGCCAAGATAAGCCTACTTTTCAATACAGCACACTGTTGGAATCAGCCAATTCATAAAAATTTTGTGGAAAATGTTTTTAGTAAAATTCCGATCATTCATCCACGGTCGGTCTTAAAATTCTCCTCTTTACGCTTTGATTCATTCCAACAATTTTGTATAACACAATTTACAAAAAAAATTGTATTCACTATTCGCGCGTGGTTTCTCGTTTCTCAAACCAAACGGGACTCTTCCTCTTCTGTAAATGTCAAAGGTCTGTATGTTGCTGTGTAGAATTCTAGAAGGGCTTTTTGTAATGAGTATGGTTTTTGGTAACGGGTGAGAGTACAAAAAATTATAAATTTAGAGTTGTTGACAAAACATATTTGCAATGTAGAATTTCGAATTCGAGATTAGCTGTTGGATTTTATACAGATCTTCTTACTTACTTCGATGGGTAATTTTTTTGATGATTCTAAAACTGTAGGGTGTCGTATAATTGACTATTTATTCTCCAGTTGAGCTGGTTTAGTTGAAATTTGCTGAATGTTCATATGCATATATTATGTGCGGTGGATCAATAAAAAATAAGCACCCAAGAAAAAAATCTATCAGATTTATATCCGGCAAAACTGGATGGCTATAACAATCTGTAAGCTTAATAGCATTCTTGTTCTTTAGCTAAATTTCGATACCTCTGTACATGCTAAACGACAGCAGATTTTAATAAAGTAGGCTAAAGGTATATTACGATTTCTACTAATATGGTTTGTTCGTACAGCCTGTTTGCTGACAATCAGCAAACTGATAGTCGGTGACAAGTCATGACCTAGTTTACGCAGTTAGCTATCACTGACACGTCGCTGACTGTACTAATTGCGTACATGAGAACGTTACGAGTTGGCTGAGAGAGGTCTGACCGATTACCAACAATTAATCAATTGTTCGTACAGAAACTTTTGACTGTTTCATGACTGTCAAATCAGTCAGCAAATAATTTTCCAGTAAAATTTCAAAGCTCAAAATCAAGTACAATAATTATTCCGATGTAAAATTTTTCAGAATGAAGTAGACAATTTTGAAAAAGTTAGGGGTTCATTTGATGTAATCCAGAATGATCTAGGATTTTTCGGCCAACTGTCCAATGTGCCCGAATTTTTACTAATATATAATAACGCCTTTGAATAATGAAGGGTTGTTATACACTAAAAAGCTAAAACGGCTGAGCATAATTACAATTATCAAGATCTGCTGACAGCTATAAGTTTCACAGAGCTCTCAACATGAACAAAAAGGACTGAGACTACAAAAATACATAGAAGTAAGAATCGCCTAATTACGCATTTTGCAACTGTAACAAAAAATTTCAAAAGATTAGTGATAACAAAAATCGTATTAATTATGGTTCTTGAAAGTTATGTCCTCTATTGTTCGGATTTTTCATACTGTATTTATAATCTTCATTTCGCCTTTACTGGGTCAATAAACAAAATATTGAGCACAAAGCACTTTGGCGCTGGCTTATATTTAAAATGGAATTTCATTAAAATTTCTTCTGCCACTTGCTCACCTGAAAATGTTACAAACACTTGTTTCTGTTGAATTGTGTCACTGTTTTCTTTACAAAATTAAGGTTTTCTGGCTTCATTGTTTTTACACCAAAGCAGCCGCGCAGGTGTCAAGGCTGCTTTCGGGAGCTTGAAGAAACTTTATTCCCATTTTTGAACTACCTAAAGTTAGTAGAACTGGGAAAATCTCCTCATGTAGATTGTTACACGATCTCGACACCCTCGGGACAAAGGAGCGGACTTATCGGCCAGTTCTGGATGTACGAAGTTCGACACGCTTACGATGGGAGGCCGAAGTCAGGTAGGCACATCGCGGAGCGACACCATGGAAGAGAGCTCTGAGGAGCAATGCCTGTTGGCGTAGCTAGATCGCCAACCGCCCGTTGCTACCAAGTTGTCCTCAGACCGTCCATTAGGGAAAAGTTAATTAAATGCCTCTTGCGAAGCAATTTTAGCCCTCAAGATAGTTCCGATACACTCTGATACCTGTCACTGGTTGACTGGTACCCTCTGATCTGTCAGAAGGTTCTGTACGAACAGCGGATTAGCTGTCGGCAAACAGTCAGAAACTGTACGAACAGGTAACATCTCTCTGATTCTGATTTTGACAGTCACCGACAAGTTACCGATTACTGTACGAACAAACCAATAGTCAAAAAAAATTGCGACCGTGTATCTTGGAAACGAAGCATTATGTTTGAACAATAATAATATATGTCTTTATTAAATCATAACTATGAGGCGCAATTTAGGCACAAGGCTACTCGTACACTAAACCTTTTCTTATTACAATCTCTCAAGCAATTACCTCTTGAAGTCTGATAAGTACGTGGTACTCATTTGTTTATATGTATGCCTGTTAATCCTTGACTGATACTTCAAAGGGATCGCACAGATTCCAACGAAAATCGAGTAATTCTACTATTTTGGCAAAAATCTCCTACATTTTGGAAGTCGGTCGAGTGGCAGCAGTGTTAGGATCCAAAAACAAGAAAAAAGTATCACCCAATCTTTTGTTGTAGGTTTGTGGAATGGATCGAGGAATGTGGTTTTCATTAGGGCACAAAATATTCTAGCTGTTATTAACACAGGTACTTTAAATACAAGGTTTTACGTTGTTTTGAGGTTACCTAAATCTTGGTACATTTAATACTACATCTGATGACTCGGAACACAGTCTCATACCTTGATTGCACTTACGTATTACAGAGAAGAAGCGGTAACGGTTTTACTTGTTTCTGTATATCCTAATTTATTTGTTTCTTTTTTTCAGTTCGTGTTTTTTCTTCTTCTAGGACGTTTACATCTTAATCTTTAAAAGTACCAATATGACGTGGAAAAGACGAAACAGACTGCAAACAAACCAGTTGACATAGCAAGGGAAATAAATCAGTCGTATTTACATACCCCACCCTATCGAAGAGGGCCAGCAACAAGTGTTGAAATGTACAGATACAGCCAGAACATATCGAATTCGAACCGAACAGGGAATCGTAAACGGCGGATATATGTGTAATTGACTACCTGTGGCTTGCGGTGAATTCACTTATCCGCACTTCTACCATTACCATATATCCTGAGTTTTTTCGTATCGGAGCGGGCGCCACGTTTCGTTTGTAATCTGTTATTTGGGCAATGACTGAAACTTCAATTTTATGCTGTTTTAATTAATTTGCTTCCAAGGAATGTGACAATCTTTGTTGTATAATCTCACGCTAATGAAATGTAGAAGTTCTTTCGAGTTTTCGTCGCAAAATAATTTAAGATTGCTGTTAGTGCCGATAAATAAATAATAATATCTATAACAAAAATGGTCTAAAAATAATGGTCTTGAGACTTGACGTGAGGTGGTAACGATCCGTCGCTTTAATCATGCTCGATGGCTTAAATACTTCTTTTTATTTTCAGCGGGGTTCATGGATAAATAATTAAATATGTGAATGGGGTAAGCTTTTCGATTGAATTATATCATATAGTCTACTATTTTAATCAACAAAATCATTCTAATCTTTATGGAGAAATGTTGTACTCAATTTTCTTTAATCATCAAAATGCTGCCTAGAAAGTTTACGAGTACTTCCGGAGAGAAACGCAAATACCAAATTTTCCCAAAACCGTTTTAACTTTTTCCTGACTTATTTGTAGAGGGATTTGAAAATAAATTGCACATTAACATCACCACTTTTCTCCTCTACAAGAAGGCACAATTAAAATTTCAAGCATCAACTTTACTTCTTCTTATGAACGCCATATTGGATTTCTGCACAGACGAATTGAGTAATTCTGATTCGAAAAATGCTTAATACGTCATTGCCAAACCTTTATTTCGAAAACAGCAGAATTTTCTAGGTAGACCTTGAAATTCCCAGATAGTCATTTGCTTCGTACACCAGATTTATCTCAAGATTACTTTTTTGATTTCATCGATTTATTTGAGATGAGAATCTTCAATTCGACATTCTTTCTTTCGATTTCCACCACCAACTTCGTTTTTTTATATGGATCCTTTATTGGAATTTTGTACATGTCAGTCTAATATTTACTGATGAATTTCCTTAGTTGGCAATGAGTTTGTTGTTCAATTATAAGGAATTGGAAAGATATGGTGAAACCTGAACACAAAATGAAAAACTAATTGATTGTAATACCAATAATAATTATAAATAAGCAGAGGTAAATCATAGCAGATGTCAAAATGTTGTCCGTTATTTTAGTTACTCTCTCTCACTGCTCGATTTATCTCTCTTCTTCTCAGTCTTCTAAGCTCTGTAGCTATTCAATTTGAGAGCTGGTCTGGTATACGAAACAAATGATATCTGATAATTTCAAGGCTTACGTAGGAACTTCTATTTTTCTGAAGTAACTTAAGTTTGTCAATTTCAATGAATGACATTTTTGAAATCAGAATTAAAAACTCTATTCACCTACGTAAAAAATAATAGGGCATCCTTAAGAAAAAATAAGTTAGTGCTGAAGGACGAGAGACGGACGTTATATTGGAATTCTGATTATGACGTCTTGTAGAGAAGAAAAACTTGCAATGTTGACATGCAAATTACTTTTTAATCTCATCTCATAAAAAGCATGAGAATAAAAGTGATTTTGGGACAAATCTACTGTGTGTAACAAATCCGATAACTTGAAGGCCTGCCTAGGAAATTCTGGTTTTTTGAGATAACTAAGGATTGGAAATCTCACGTATTATACATTTTAGGAATCACAATTGAAAACTCTGTTCATAAATACAAGAAAATGATGCTGGAGAAACGTCGTATTAAAATTCTAATTATGCCATCTTGTAGAGGAGAAAAAGTGGCAATGTTAATGTGCAATTTATTTTGAAATCCCGCTACAAATAAGGTCAGGAAAAAATTAAAACGATTTTGAGAAATTCGATTTTCTCCGTCTCGCTACGAGAAACTTCTAAGTGGCATTATGTGTTACCTAAATGGTGAGGGTCGAATTTGAAACACCCCGTATATGTTAAAGCATACGGCATGTTCTGTCAACGAATTGTTGACGGTTGTGGATGGTTGGAAATAATCAATAAATTCAATTTGACGCATGGATTTAAGTGCCACTTTTTTGTCAGTTCGTTTGGTCGACTAATTTTGATAGCTCCAAAATCGTTGCTAGAACATTGCTATTGAATGGCACATACTTTCATTATTTCCCTTTTATGGCGTCCTTCAGCTATTTACATCTCCTGGTCTATATTACATATCATTTAGTAATAAAAAATATACGTATGTGTACATGCATCAGCGGCAAACTCTTTTTTACTTATTGATTGTCACACACAGTTACCTTTTTATCATTTACTTCCATCGCATTGTATTTGATTATCGAAATGGAGTAACCATATGGAACTGATAGTGGCTAAATGCTTCTCAGCATATCTGGGCTATTTACCACTGTCAAGCGTTGTACTTTATCACATGCCGGCTGTTTGTTATTGAATTAGGATATTTTTTGTGTGTATTAAACTGTATTATACATCTGAAACAACAAATGAGTTTACTGCAGTAGTGTCAGCTAACAAACTGACTGGATTTCAGTTGAGCGACTTTTGAAGATGTCTAAATTCCTTTTAAATCAAGTCAGAGTACGTTGATTAAGATATGTTTGCTTTCCGTCTATGCAACCATTACTAACCGTATACAAAGTTGTTTCATACTTTTTTGGAGTAGATTCTTTCATTCAAAGATGCTGGAAAACTGTGGCGATTAGCAGTAACAACTTTATTTTTCGTTTTTTTTAATAATGCTTACATTATACTTGAACTCGATATAAAATTCAATGGATATTTTTTAGTCTCCCTCTAATAGAATGCTTTCATATTCCGCCGTGTAGCAGACCCTGACATTTCGCTGAGTAAAGCCCTTTTTTCTTATCCCATTGTATAATGCACAGCGATCCGAAAAAACAGTCAGCCCCGTGGCATTTTTTTCCTTCGCGTTGGCTGACAGCGAATTCGCATAAAGGCGAAAATAAATAATGAAAGAATGATAATGTAAAATTTCCCGCAGCCGCAACCGGGCAGAATTAGCAAGCTGAATGGAAAGAAAACTCAACTAAATCTTTATCAACCACGAAGAAATTTTTGCGGATGATAAATGGATTGCATTTATCCGCCGAGGAAGAAAGCAGTCACCGGATTCCTGAATACGATGAATCAATTCCTCTCTGCGGCTCTTTATTCTTAACGTAATTATTTTTGTATAAATCAAAACACCTTGACAGCTCCCCAACGCCGAGATATGGGGGATCCGTTCAGAGGAGGGGAGAAATTGAGGTATCATGTTTTGTCTTACCAACTGTGATTACTAAGCATCTTGGTAGCTTTTTTTTTCTTACACTTGAGCTACCATCGAGATGGGCTCTTAATGCCATCTGTCACAAGTAGATACCCAGACCACCAAGTGTAGCATGGAAATCCAACATTACGAATCTTGGCATCGGTTTAGAAGACAACAAAGTACCTATAGGTCTTTTCACGATTTTTGGTTGGTCGCAGTAACCACTACAGCGATTACTTTCAAACATCTATCTCCTCACATATACAGGGTGTTCCTTAATGGTATGCGAATATTTCAGGGTGTGAATCTACATGAAAAATTAATGTTAGTTTGCTCCATAAATTATGGTCCAAAAATGTTTCCTTACAAAAACTCGGGGTGTTGAAGTTTTAGGGAAAAAATGGAAATTAATTAATATTTTCAGAACCGCTTCAGATATTTCACTGATATTTAGTACGTAGTGGCAGTTGATAAAGTTGCATATTCTTCAATGAAAAAATAGTTTTTAGCTTTAACAATGGCATGCGTACGGGTAATGACTTCGATATTTTTAAAGAAAAAAATAGTACGCCAATAGTTTTTGGCCAAATAAAAATTATTTTTTAAATTCTCCGTTCAATTCAAAATAAATAATCTCTCCTGAATTGTTTTCCTTTGATGCGCCATTTTTGAGTAAAACAATAAAGACCATTCTATTGTCTAACTTGTAAAATTAATATTAATTCAATTGGAAAAATTAAACATATTATGGGCAATGAACAGCAACAGCTGACACCGTAAACATAGCATTAAAACTAACGAAATTATTACAAAAACTGATGAAAATGGCCCCCGTCACTTAGTATGAATGCATTCCGCCCTCCTTCTCATGGAATTGCGCATTCGTTGAAATATCCCTGGAGTGTCTTTTATTCTATCACAAGCTGCAACTATTCTATCTCTTAATGCCTCTACAGTGTTAATGGGACTTGTGTACACTAGTGTCTTAAGATAGCCTCACAAAAGAAATCTAAACTGTTGAGATCTGGGGACCTTGGTGGCCATTCTTGGGGCCCACCGCGGCCAATCCAACGATATGGATAAACAGTTTGTAAATAATTACGAACCGCTACACTGGAATGCGCTGGTGCACCATCATGGATACAGAATCATTGATTCAAATTGCGGATTTTGTGTAATTTTTTGAAGATACCACTGACAAAAGGTTACACGCCTTGGAAAATCAATGGGAAGTAATACCTTCAGATGTTTCTTTTCGGAAAGAACCAGTTTCAACAAGACGACGATGAATATTAGAAAACGTTCGACTATCTGGCAAAGCACGATCGGGATATCTCTGGTGATAAATCCGTCTGACATGCTCACCATTACCGTCTGCAAAGCCATATACGTAATGCATTTCCGCCATTTCTGCATTTGTATAATTTACCATTATTAACAAGATTGTAAAAACTAAATAATGAAAAAGATGTCACAGCGAACAGATTTGAATAACAGAGACTTGTCAGATGTGAAAAGCCAGTGACATATTCCAGAGCAACTAGATATTTATTGTTAAATTGCATTCTTCAATTATTACATTAATTTTCTCGGACAATAGAACGATTTCTATTTCTTTACTCAAAAATGACGCATCGAAGGAAGACAATTCAAGAGAGACTTTTGTTTTAAATTACACGGGGAATTCAAAAATTATTGGCAAAATACTATTGGCGTGCCATTTTTTTTTTAAATATCGAGGTCAATACCCGTACGCACGCCACTGTTATAGCTAAAAATTATTTTTGCATCGAAAAATATGCAACTTTATTAACTTTCACGACGTACTAAAGATCAGTGAAATATCTGAAGCGGTGCTGAAAATATTAATTAATTTCCATTTTTTTCCTAAAACTTCAACACCCCGAGTTTTTGTAAGGAAACATATTTGGACCATAGTTTATAAAGCAAACTAACGTTAATTTTTTATGTAGATTCACACCCTTAAATATTCGCATATCATTCAGGAACACCCTGTATATGCAATCGACTTCCATGCGCTAACGTTCGCTTTTGAAACCATACGTCTCTTGTTTATTCTCTCCCTGTCTTGAAAATTATCGACAACGTATGAGTCTTCAAAATTTATG